GGTGAGAGCAAATCTTTCACAAAGATGGAGGGAGGCACCATGAACTCAGGCTTGAGCTTCGGCTGGATTCCATCCCTGGTCCATTCATGGCTGCCTGCGGTGTGGCGTGGGGAACCCAGACTAGACTAGGTTGACTTGTGTCACCCTCTCCCTCAAACATGTCCAAGTCCTGACCTCCAAAATCTGTAAAAGGGACTGTATTTGGACATAGGGTCTGTGTAGTAATCAGGGTGAGGATCTCGAGGTGAGATCATTCTGAATTTACAGTGAGCCCTAAATCCAATGACAGTGTCCTCATAAGAGAAAGAAGACTAGAGACACAGAGATAGATGGGGAGAAGGCCACATGGAGACAGAGGAAGAGGCTGGAGTGATATGGCCACAAGCCAAGGAATGCCAATGGTTGCCGGCAGTCCCCAGAAGCCGGGAGGCCTGGGACCCATTCTTCTTCAGAGCCTCCAGAAAGAACCAACACTGCCTACTCCTGGATTTTGGACTTCTGGTCCCCTGAACTGTGAGAGAATAAATTCCTGTTATTTTAAGACGACTCCTGGTTTGTGATGCTTTGTGATGGCAGGTCCAGTACATTTTCACATCAGTGTGCACCTCTGTGGCTATGTTTCCTCATCTTTAAAATGAGCAGAGCTGTAATAATGACTCAGAGAAATGACAGATGGAAACAATGGCACCTAAAGCCTGACACCCAAGTGGGCTCGAAGGCTGATAACGAATTATTCCTATTATTAGGAAGTACCTTTTGGCTTAGCTCAGAATGGCTGGGACTTACTTATGGACAATTTGTAAATGGTCAGTACCTGAAAAAAATGGTGACTGGGTCTCATGGGATCACAAGCTGTGACTCTAAGATAGCAGGGAGATTCTGCTCCCAGAGGACACTTGGTGATGTCTGAGGATATTTTTGGCTGTTATACTGGGAAGAGGCGGGGGCTACATCTGGATTGCTGCTCAGTACCTGCAGTGCCCAGAACGGTCCCACCCCAGAGAGTGACCTGGCCCCAGACGCCAGCAGTGCCTCGACTGGGAAGCACAGCTCTAAACTAAAAAGACCTACTTTCTTTCCAAAATGTTGCCCCAGGAAGCATGTTTATGGTCCTAACATGGATTTGGCTCAAGCCAGTTTTGGAAGCCAGTGTGGGCACCGCCCTCCAGCAGATCTTAACCACTGGGGAAATTTGGCCTTGCCAGCTCTCGCCGAGGCTCGAGGGAGGCAGCCAGGCGTAGTCAGAGGCATCTGACTCACATGGAGGGTGACTAACGGCCCTCTAAGAATGTGCCAGGATCCCTCGGGGCAACTTCAGGGGAGGAGCAAGGAGGCCCGTGGGAGGCACTGTGGGCCCCCAGGATGACTGCTGAGCTGGGGTGGCACTCAGGAAAGAAAGCACCAGGCACCACCAGCTGTCGCTCAGCAGCGGGTGCTGTGGGCTGACTCGTGTCCCCAAAAAGAAACGTCCACACTCTAACCCCCCCGAACCAGTGAACGTGGCCTTAGTTGGAAATGGGGTCATTGCTGACGTAATTAGTTTAGATGAGGTCATCCTGCATTAGGGTGGGCCCTAAATCCAATGACTGGTGTCTTTATAAGAAGAGAAGGCCATGTGACGACAGAGGTAGAGGTTGGGGTGATACAGCCACAAAGGAATGCCTAGAGCCCCCAGAAGCAGGAATAGACAAGAAGGTTCCTCCCCTAGAGCCTCCGGTAGGAGCATGGCCCTGCCAACACCTGGCCTTCAGTGCTGTGAGAAAGTATAGTAGGCCTTCCAAATCTATGGGGTTTCTACCTGGGATTCAAGCAACCGAGGATCGAAAATATTAGGAAAAAAAATCCCAGAAAGTTCCAAAAAGCAAAGCTTAAATTTGCCACATACTGAGCATTTTGCTGAATCTATATGAATAAGTGATGTGTAGGCATACCTGGCTGCAGCCCATGTGCAGATATAGGTTATCTGCAATTACTACACCATTTCACGTAAGGGGCGAGAGCATCTGGGAATTTTGGTATCCGAGGGGGGACTAAAACCAATCCTCCATGGATACCGAGGGACAACTGTAAACTGTTGTTTGAAGCCCCGCAGTCTGTGGTACTTGAATATGGCAGCCACAAGAACCTCATCCAGGTACCCTGGATGGTCCCCAGCTAGAAAAGGAAATGATGCCATGGTGCCACTCCTGCCTCCTCACTGTGTCTTGTTGAGATCTTGGGCTTGGCATCCTCACCAAACACAGGCACACCCATCTACCTACCTGGTTCTGAGGGGTGAATGACCACTTGGTAAACATTGAGTCTGCCCTCTGGTTCATGTTCTTAATTTCTGACGTCATTGACAGTCTGCACCATGTAACCTGGGACTGCAGTGCCAGGCACCAATGCATAGGTCTACAGCACCTGTTGCGGCCCTTGGCCCTTGTTGAGAAGACAGTGGGGCCATCAGTGGCTTTATAAGCAGCTGAGTTTCAGAGCTGGGATAAAGCCAAATCAAATCTGGAATACCTTTTTTAGCTCCCATGTCACAAGGCCCTCCATGTGGCCCAAAAGACCATGAATGACCTGAATGTCACCTCTGTCCCCACCACCTCCCACTCTGCTTGCTCACCCCACTCCAGCTCCTTTTGTGCCCTCTGGGGCCATTGCCTTTCTTCCAACACCAGCTGTGGTCCAGCCTCCCGGCCTTTGCACTGGCTGTGCCCTCCTCCAGACACTGCACAGCTCACCCCACCTCTTCCCAGGCCCAACTCAGCATCACCTTCTTACCTCCTGCCCCCTCAACTCTTCTTCATCGGACCTGCTGGCTGTTCTTTGTACAAGGTCCGTTGTTTATTTCTCTGCCTGCTTCCTCGTCCCTGGGGTGACAGCTCTGTGTGGGCAGGCCTTTGTCTATTTAGGCCGCCACATAGCCCAGTGCCTAGATGGTGCCTGGCATATGGCAAATGTGTACATGGAATATTTGCAGAATGAACAGATAGAATAGAACAGGAAACGCATGCATGGTACACAGCATTAAAGAGAAAAAATGTCCATTCTGTGGCTGGGTTATTCAGTCGTAATATTTGCACAAAAAATGACCATTAATCTTTATAGGAGAAGACAGAAATAGGCTACCTATGTCAGTACAGGGCCAGGCTGTACAGCCCCAATGGATTTCTTGCTGATGATCTCAGAGATCATTAGGGAGGAAGAGGAACTAAAGAGTATTCAGGAGGCGCAGCCTAGATGTGATTTCAGTGAATTTGCACAGCAGCCCTCTGAGGTGGCTGCATTAGGCCCTTGGCTTGGGGAGATGAGCAGAATCTGGAGGTCAACACTCCAAGATTGGTGAGACCTCCACACTCCCAACCCTGCAGAAAGGGGGTCTGAAGTCCTATGGATAGACAGACTGTGGCACATCCAGATAATAGGTTGTTACTATGCAAATGAGGTCTCAAGCTACAAAAAGACATGGAGGAACCTTACATGCATATCTCTGAGTGAAAGAAACCAATATGAAAAGGCTACAGACTGTATGATTCCATCTATATGATATTCTGGAAAAGGTAAAACTACAGACAGTGAAAAGATCAGTGGTTGCTAGGAGTTAGGGGGAGGGAGGGATGAACAGGTAGAGCACAGGGGATTATAGGGCAGGAGAACTACTCCGTATGATACTGTAACAGTGGATATGTACATTTGTCCAAACTCACAGAATGTACAACACAGGGTGAATCTTGAACCCGAATGTAAACTATGGACTTCAGATAATAATATGTCCATATTGGCTCATCATTTGTAACAAATGCACTAATGGCAGCCGGAAGTATGGGGGTGAGCAGGATATATGGGAACTCTGTACTATTTGTTCAATATTGCTACAAACCAAAATCTGCTCTAAGAAATATGATAATTTATATTATTATAGTTAATAAAACTACTTAAGTTTATCAAAATTACTTGTGTATTATTATTTAATTATTATAAAATCTTATTTAAAAAAGAAAGAAAGCAGAGTCCTAGATGCCAAGCTCAGGGGCGTACACCTCTGGGCCCACATATTGTCCCTGCTGTTACCAAGTAATGACGGTTACACTGTTCTGACACGTGGATGCCTCTTTTCTTAAGAGCCGGAGAAGGAGGGACACTGTGGTCACTTCTGCTGCCCCGTGCCCAGGAGGCTCACCCATAGCAACACATCAATGGCTTCCATGGGGTTTGGCCAAGAGGGACACTGGACAGAAGACAGGGGGTGCTTCCTACCCTGCTGACTCTACAGTGCTGCCAGGTGGCCCCATTTCCTTGCTTCAATGGCCCCCGGGCCTGCACTATGCCTTGCTGGCTTCTCCACACTGCAGCCCTGCCAGAAGTGCCCCATCATGAACTGCCTGGTTTGGATATGCCATCCTTTTCTTTCTGGGACCTAGAGTATAGATTGCTGCCTCCTAGATGGCAAGAACATATTAATCAGGTCCTTTTGTTTTCTATAATCTGATGCTTTGATATCTGGGGCCTGGCTGACCCTGGAAGGACTGCCAGTTCCCCGGGCTTAGCCAATTGCCACAGAAGGCAAAGGACTTGCCTGTGAGCACATCGTCCATATGCAAACCAACCCAGCCAGAGACCACACTCCCACCACCTCCTCTATTAGGCTCTCACTCTCAGGACTCCCATCCACCTGCCCTGATACCTCAGGGCCAGGTACCAGACAGCCAGGTACCCTATGCCCCAGAGCCAAACCAGCCAATACTAAACCTACTCATCTGCCTCATGCATTTCTTCCCATGAAAACCACAACAGGGACTTGGTTTCCTGTGTTTTTCTTTTTCCTTGCCCATGGTTTTCCCTCGCTCCTGCTATATCTCACTGACTCGGGTGCTTTCCCGCGTGGGGCCACGCGGGATATAGAGCCTCCTGTTTCTAGGGAACTGTGAGTATAACAAATTCTTCATGACAGACATGATAATAAAATGCATGTGGTAAGGCAGAGGGCCCCTCCTGCCAACTGCCCCACTCACCTCCAGCACGGGGCCGGCACCCAGGATGGTCCTCTCGACGCCACTGGCATAGCCCTTCTGGCTCAGGGCGGTGAGGCAATGGATCAGAAAGTTGGTGGTCTGCGTCTTGCCTGAGCCGCTCTCTCCTGAGATCACGATGCATTGGTTGACGCGTTTCCGGAGCATGGCGTAATAGGCCACGTCAGCCAGTGCAAACACATGTGGCTCCAGCTTGCCCAGCTGCTGGTTCTCGTACATCTTCACGTACTTGGGGTTGTAGATGGGGAGGAATTTGAAGGGGTTGACAGCCACGAGGATGCTTCCTGCGTACGTGTAGATCTTCTGTTGTAGGAAGCGGTGCTTGAGGTTCTTCAGGAGGTTGGCCTCAGTTAGCTCGGGAAGGTTGCACAGGTCATCAAAGTCTGCCTGCTGCCGGGGCAGGAGGCCACGCTCCACCAGGCGCCGGGTGGCTGTGGCCTGGGATACCAGCTGCATGTGCACATACTTGATGGCCCCGTCTGCGTCACGCTCCTGCAGCAGGAAGTAGTAACCATCCTCTTGCGGATGCTCATCCTGCGCCCGTCGTGGCCATAGCAGTACGCGGTGCACGGGTGAGTCGTTGGCGTCCAGCACCCACTCCTCTCCACCTGTCTCCTTGACCTCCACCAGCACATAGCGCTTGGTGCCATCCAGCTGCAGGCTGGTGATGGCGTCCTGGATGACGTCGGATGTGGTGCTGTCCTTGGTGGCCGTCACACAGCACGAGGCCTGGTTCTCGCTGGTGGCCAGCTGTGGGTAGATGTGCAGGTGGTAGGCCGCCTGCCTCCGGCAGCTGGAGCTGCCCACCTCGTTCATACTCATCCTGCCGGCAGCCTGGCCTCAGCATGCCTCCCAGGCTCGGGGCGCGCGTCCTGGAGCCGGAAGGGAGAGGGTGGCACGGTCAGAGTGGTGGGGGGTAGTGGTAGGGGATGCTGCCACCCGCCTACGATGGACAGCCTCAGACCTGAGGCCAGTATCCCTTGCCTTTGTATCTCGAAAAGGCAAAGTGTGGGAAGAACTTCTATCTGTCCTTAAATGTGACTGAACTCTGACCCAAGGATTATGGCTCTTGCGGAGTGACAACACCAGACTACCCCCACCCCCTGCCCAAGATCAAACCTTTCCCATGGAGTTTGCTCAATTCCAGCCCCCATTCCTCCCACCTAAGGTCAGCCTCTCAACCCACAAGTCCAACGGTCACAGCCGTGTCTCACCTAAGTCTTTCCCGACCCATATCCTTCCTGGCCTCTTCTCTTGGATAAAACATCCCCAGGCAGCTCCCCAAGCAGATGAAGATTCAGCCCCACAGGTTACATCTCCCCAATACAGCAAGGGCAGCAAGAGCTATGGCTGGGATAAGCAAGAACGAACCTGCCCTGAAACTCAGGGACCCCAAAAACAACAGGGTCCCTAAAACCCTAACGAGGAGGATGAAGTCTGGGAGAGCCCCCTCACCAAAACACACTAAAGAGAACTTCTCAGAGTGCATTTGTTTCTAGAACCTATGATCCCAGTCACCTGCGAAGTCCTCCCAAGGTCATGAGAAACAAGGAGAGACAGAGGAGGCGTCCCAGACTGGAGGAGACATGATGACTAAACACAACAGGGTTCCCTGGATGGGGTCCTTGACCAGTGGGAGGACACGGATGGAAGAACTGGTGACATCCGGATGACGTCAGGTTGGTTAACAGCAGTAAGTATCAATTTCTTAGGGTACAAATGTGTCTGGTAATGTAAGATGGTCATGATAGGAGAAGGTAGATGAGGGGTACTAGAGTCTATATTACCTTTGCAACTTTTCTGTAAATCTAAAATGACTCCAAAAGAAAAAGGTTATTTTTAAAAAATGTATTTGCTTCTGAAGACATTGAGGGGAAAAAGAAAATGCAGCCAATGTTGGCGACAGCCAATTTCGTGTCTTGGAGCAAGAGGCATAAATGCGTGTGGGTCTCATGCAGGCTCACTGCGATACAAAGATGAACCAGACCTTGGCTCAAAGCCCCGTGGGAGAAACTGACATGCAAACAAATGTGAGAGCACATACATAGGCACATGTGTGTGAACATATACTCTCATATGAACACACCCACACTTGTGCACAAACGCAAGCACATATACAAACATGGACATGCAGTTTTGTGACACACCCATGCTCATGCATGCTCACATGCACACACATGAAAGTAAACATGAACACATGTGTGCATAGCACTTGCACATGAACATACACATGCATAGAGTCAGGACTTCAGGCAGAGCCATCCCTCTGTGACCTGCATTCATAGAGACATGGCTGATGTGTACCACGACTTCTAGAGGTGCGATCCAGCTCACAGGCTGGGGGCTTTGTCTCACTCAAGCTGCCTGGACGCGGACAGCGAAGAGGTCACACAAATGTGCCTGCTTTCTCTTTCCAGCAGATACCAACTCTAGCAAGAGGCCATCAGAGCCCAGTAATGTGATCCAGATCCTAAGGATTCTGCCACCTGCCCTGATGAGGGTCTGGATGGAGCTTGGACAGGTTGAGGGCTGTGCAGCCAGCTGCACTCTGGGCTACCCCTCATCCTCCAGAGAAGAAGAATCATCAGGTGCTCTTGAAGCCCCACCGTGAATAGAGGCATGTAGGGTACATCTGCAGCTCTGGGCCCCTTGGTAGGGGAAGCAGGAGACCCCATGCTCAGAGACTGGGGGGTTGGGGGGGCTGTAGGGGGGCTATTACAGGACTAGTGATGCTCACCCTACCCCAGGCCAGGAGGAAGTAGATAAGGCTTACTCAAGGCAACTGCTTACTGCCAGGGCTGCAGGGAGCACGGCAGTCAAAGGGAAGGGACAGGGCCAAAAGGAGCTGGGGCTGCTGTAGGAGTTCCTGCAGGGTCCACCTGACCACCTTGCTGCATCTGCCTCACAAGCCATCAGAGCCCATCCTGGCCCACCATGTCTGCATCCTGGGAAATTCCTCTGCTGCACCTGTGTGGGTAGCCCTCCCCACCCAGGGCTCACCTGGCCGTTCTCCCCAGGGACCAGCACTCTCTTCCCAGAGTGGCCCCCTTTATCCCCTTTTCCTAGGAGTTCGCTGCGGAGGACCCTCCCATTGAATAGCTCATGTGCCTTAGAACCAGAGATACTTATAGATCTTTCTTCAGCCCAGGGCAGAGCCCAGTAACTTCTTTGTTTCCACGCAGCCTAGAGCCAACCCTTTCCACTCCCACCTGGCCACCAGTCCACTCTCCCATCCCATGCCATGTAAACCACTGCACCCTCCTCCCAGAAGATGCCACCAAGCACCACTAGTCACACCTGCTGCCAGTGGCCTCTCCCAGTCCTGCTCACTTGCTCTGCAGCCCTGGAATGGGAGCATCACCTGGACCTGACTCTGTGCAGGGGCCTCTCCCACCCTGTTCCCTAGGATCTGTGCTCCCACCAAGGATACCTGCCCCACTTCCAACCCATCATGGCCACCTCTCCCTGACCTGCCTCAAAGGCCTAAAAGGCTTGTTCTCTGCTCCTCCCACTGACCACATCCTGTCTGCTGTCATCATATCCCCAGAACTGCTGTCTCTTATCACCAGCCAGTCAGGAGGGGCTCCCGTGGAGCCCCTGGACGCACTGGTCTAGATGTGGGTGTCCTAGCACAAAGCTACTCAGGAGTGCCCCATGGCCAGCCCTCAGAACCCTTGGTTATCAGGCCCAATACAGCACAGCCATCCCTTGGTCCCCACACTGGCTGACTGGCACGCTGCAGCCACTTCCCCCCGCCCAGCCCAAGCCCAGGTTCATAGGCCAGACCCTGCAGGGCCTCTCCAGCCCAGTCAGGGAGAGGCTTCCCAAAGCCCCTGACCCACAGGAAGACATCTGGTTCTCCAGCTGGGGGACATCCCCAGCAGGCTGGCCATCCACCCACCTAAACTCAGATCCGATCCTCCCTTTCTCGCATCCACATCTCAGATGAGTTTCAGCCCCACGCTGCTGCCTCCTCCCAGTGCAGTCCTTGTTCTCAGGATGGAATGCCCCTCAAACCCCTCCACCAGATCCCAGGCAGCTCTGCTCCCAGTGCAAAAATCTTAGGGTGCACTCTCTCTGGCCCAGTGTCCTCTCATTCCACAGGTGGCACCATTTTACCTACAACACTCAGCTGACTGGATTCTCATTGGGCACAAAAGAACATCTTGCCAATTACACATCTTCAATTGCTGGTCTGCAGTTTTTGAAAATTATGTCTATTGAGCAGCTATTTTTCTGTTTCTGTAAGTTGTTCATGTCTTTTGCCCGTTTTCTCCCACTGAAGCATGACTATTTGGCTTATTTTTTTGGAGAAGCTCTTTGTATAGGAAGGTATCAGCTCTTTATCATGTTTGATGAAACTAATTCATAACAATTGACTTTTGCATATGGTATTTTTTGAGACAAACATTACATTTTCCAAGCAGTCAGATCTGCGGGTCATTTCTTTTATGATGTCTACTGCCCATTCCTCTCCCAGGTCTGACTATCATTGGGATTATGCCTTCCTCTCCCTTCCCAGATTTATGCTTTCAGTTTATGCCTTTATCCATTTAGAAATTCTTTTAGAGGGTTTATGAGCTTCCTCGGGATGCTGTAACAAAGTACTACAAACCAGGGGGCTTACAACAACAGAAATTTGTCTGTGTAGTACCATGCTGTTTTGATGATCACAGCTTCAGAACTGTAATAATTCAGATAATTAATTGTTAACTCATTGATAATTCATTGTCCTTAAACAATGACATCTCCCTTGGAGGGGCTCAGCCATTTTCTCTGGCTTCCAAGCACAGCTTCTTCACTTAGTCTTAATGAAGCCTGAGATCTGCAAGTCAGTCATGTTGTGGCTTAAGGTCCTTGTCACAAGTGGATATGAAACCTGTGCCTCGAAAATTCCCCGGCTATGTCCAGAATGAAAGGAAGCAGGTTGGACTGAGGAAACAGGGTGGCAGGTCCTGGGGGTGGAGAGTGGGGGTAGCGGGGGGCAGGCAGCTCAGCCAACCAGCAATCACAGGTTGCAGCTGTGTGTAAGGAGCAGCAGGTCCTGAAGACCTACGTGTCTCCTTCATCCAAACCATCTCACCAAAACCCCCAAGTTAAAACATCCCTTCTACCCTCCAACTTATGCTCATGGAGGTGCACGCAATGTGAATGGAAGCAAAACACATTCCCACATTAATGGGAACTGTCTCCCCAGGACTCAGAAGGACTACATATACCCTTGTTATCAAATAGAAGACAAGCTGGCAGACTATAAAATTCCCTCTGAAACAAAAGAAATGAAATGCCCGTCAAAGGGCGAAGGATAAACAAAATGTGGTCCATCCACAGAGTGGAATATTACTCAGCCATAAAAAGGAACGGAGCACTGACACATGCTATGGCATGGATGAACTCATCATGGTGGAAACATCACACTAAGTAAAAGAAGCCAGACACAAAAGGCCACATAGCATATGTTCCCATTGACATGAAAAGTCTAGAATGGGCAAATCTTTAGAGACAGAGAGTAGTGGTTCTCAGGGACTGGGGGAGGGGCATGGGGAGTGACTGCTAATGGGGACAGGGGGTGGAGAGTGGCTGCTAATGGGGACAGGGTTTCCTTTAGGGGTTATGAAAGCGTCTTGGAACTAGATAGAGGTAGTGAATGTGCTAAATATTACTAATAGTGAATCTTACGTGCATTTTCCATGATAAAAATCATTCCCACTAAAAAACCTGAACTGTAAAAAAGCCTTTGCTCTGCATATGCCACTGGGTATACTTTCTGCACTCAGAGAAGACAAGAACCTCAATTCAGGGCCTTTCATGAAAAAGAGGGTACCAAGAAGAGGGGGAGCCAACTACAGATCTGGCCCCAGGGATGGGTAAATGGACAAATGTGAATGAGTTGC